AAATTCAAAACAAACAAACCATCCATTGACACCAAAAACAAATTTCTTTAAGGTCATGTGTGCCGGTTTATGTTACTCAATGCCATAAAAAAAACAATGTTGCAGAGGTATGGTATGTTTAAGTAAATGTTTTGTACTTTAAAAAGTCACTATGTTCGGTAGCCTTTCTGAACTATAATCAAAGAACAAAATATTTATTGATAACTTGTCAATAGCAAAAGTCCGATAAGTTGTTAATTATGTACGAATTAAAAATTACAACAATAGAATATATATTTGAACAGGTCAGTGAAATAGCGTAAAATCACAATTTATGGTTTCGTAATTTTCACTGAAATCTTCATCAAGATCCAGTAATTTCTTTTGGTAAAATATTTAACAGAGAAAGACTACAACTTTAGGCGTGCTCTTCTGTCTAAACCACAAAGTACATAAGCTGTTTGATTATAAACTTATAAAACATATATATGGTTTGATTTAAGTCGGAGAAATCAATCGCTTCTTTCAAGAAGCCCATGATGAAGCTGGAAAGGGAAGACATGTTGCAATGAATCCCAGTAATGTGATGTAGTATACTTCTTCTATATCTGCTTATGGAGGAAGTAGACACCACATTACTGGGAAGACACGTTGCAATGAATCCCAGTAATGTGATGTAGTATACTTCTTCTATATCTGCTTATGGAGGAAGTAGACATCACATTACTGAGAAGACACGTTGCAATGAATCCCAGTAATGTGATGTAGTATACTTCTTCTATATGTGCTTATGGAGAAGTAGACATCACATTACTAGGATTCATTGCAAGTGGCTTTCCTTTCCAGCTTCATAACTCTTATCTTCCTTTGAACTCAACTAAACCAATACAGTCAAATAACATACTGATTTTCAAAACATTTGGTTCAATAATTTCTCATAAGAATATATGTTTGAAAATTCCACGAACTAAAAACTTTGTTTCAGCTTAATAATTTGTTAATTAAGAGACCCGTTAACAACACCTTTAATTGTTCCTTTTTAACTTTCGAGCCTTCGTAAGCGAAAATTTGAGAGTGTCACTTTAAGTAACAAACAATAATTTGAGGTTAAGGATACTAACTAGCAAGTTCGCCATTTCTTCTGAAAAATGAGCCGATTAATTCAAGAAAATAATTATTAATATAACATATGGTGTTAAAATAAATAATATAGTATTAAATAATTCTTAACGTAATTCTGATATGTTCTAACATTAAAGAAAAATTCAGCCTGAAGAGCCCAAGTACTAGTCGAAAGGCCTCGTCGGCACTTGAAATCGAAGATATAGTGTGGCTGATATATATCATGTTTACTTTCACTCAGAAGTTCTTATTAATAAATAAAGCACCTTTCGATACTATCTTTGCGTGTTTTATCGAAAGAAGGCTGATCAAGTCGAAACATGTAGTGTGTTTTCTACAAAAAATATCGTTGTGTTTGTAAACAGCTTTTTTGTTAATTTTGTACCAGTTTCAGTTTTATACAAATGTGTTTAATTTTAATTCTTAGTTTTAATACTCAGTTATGACATTAGAAAATGGCATTATTTTTTACCACACAAACAAGTATATGTTCTTTCCCGAATCTCAGATACATTGTTCTGATATTGTTTATTAAAATAGTTATTTTTAAGTATCTCTTAATATCCTCTACCACTGATCTATATTGTTGTTAGTTTATTCTTGTTGTTGTATGTAGCATATTTTATATTCGTATCTATTCCATTTCTCCATTGTGATCAACACAAAGATTTCTTCAACTTACTTTTCACATTGGGTGCTTATTTAGAAAGAGAAACAAGGCTGATATATTTTATCCATACTTTGTTTGTAGATATAAATACATAAATAAAAACAATATACATATTTTAAGCTTGTTATAAATTTGAGTAAACGAAAAGGTTGAGAAAAAAAAGAGATTGCCCAGCAAGTACACAATAATCGTTGACGTGAAAAAGTCAATTTTCGTATCTCGAAATGCGATACTTTGTAACGAACCTTGAATGTAAAAACTAGTTTTGAATTCAAATATTGAAAGGTATTATTGTTTCAACTTGAGTTTATCGTAATTAATCATCAATGTAAAAACTAGTTTGGAATTCAAATATTGAAGGATGTTATTATTTCAAATTGAGTTTTTAATACATTAAGAAACTCTAGGACACTTCTCCACAAATTTAGTTTTCTTCTGAGTCTGCAAGTCTTCTGCTTTCTTGCCGGATCCTTCAAGGTTCAAAGAGCAAGAAGAAGGCTCCAGTAAGAGAGCCGAGAGCTTGCCAGAAGAAAAGAAAACTATACTAGTGGAGAATGTTTTCTGAGAATACAATTAATTGTACGAAATGAACCTGAAATCACATTTGAGTTGATCTTCTTAGCACAAGGAACAATGAAAAAAAACCAACACAAGCTTTACTTATTCTGCCAGAAAAGATTATTAAGATTTTATCTAAACTGTTAACCATCATTCTATAATTGGATATTTATCAAGATTGATGGGCTGGTTATCTTAATCATTAAGTTATCTCTTTACCTGTGGCCTTTTGTGGTGCCTGAAACGTCTGCGACCGGTTGGGTGAGCAGCGGTTACCACCAGCAAGATTAGGAAACAGACGGTGGTTATGGGTCTTGCAGCCGACATGACTCGACTTCTGGTGGATTAGGTCTCACGCTTTTCCTACTTTTTAGGAAAACTCTTAAATTTGTCGTGCTACAAATTATAGGCCTTTGAAATGAAATACCTGATACTCAAGCGCTCTCTCAGTTTTATCCTGTCTTACATTGGCTCATGCACTACGTCAGATGGTGAGCAACAGCAGGTGGAGCGTGCTGATAGGGAGAATCAGCCACGTGCGAAGGTGGCAAATTTCCACAGGGTATAACTGGTCTTTCTTATTGTTGGGACGTGTAATGGCATTCAATTGATTTGCTGGTGCTGGGATGGAGTAAACAGAAGTCAGCAGCCAGTGCTCTAACATGTGTAAGAATTATCAGCCAGTCAGCAACACGGATTAGTGCCACAATAAAGATTCCCGGAGAGCCGTATGGATAGAACAATGTCCAGGATTAGGTGTCCCACCCACACCTGCGCAAAGCACGATTTATGGCCGAATTTCGATTTACTTTCAGTCACATATGGTGACTGTATATCACTACACCTGCAAACACTTCCAGTTCGTTCAAGAAAGATATCGAATTTTAATAGCTTTATGTTAAAGCTCATACGCAAAAATCTAACCTATTTCTCTAATTGTACTTTAAATTTCGTTAGTTATTTGTTCCAGGACAAATATATATTTGTATCTTGAAAACTTGATAGTAGTTAACTTAATATTAAGAAATATGTTAAATATATATATATCTATATAGATAGATAGATCATTTATAAATCTGTGATATGATTTAGTATTGATGTGTGGTGTAACATAATAAAAACTAGCTATTGGACACAAACCTTCTTAACACATTGAAAATTAGCCTCTGGTCAATATAAAAGTGCTCGCAACATAATCGAAACTAGCTGTTGGACACAAAGTTTCTTAACACATTCGTTAGCCACTGGTCAACATAAAGGTGTTATAAAAATATTAAAAACTACTCAAGCATCAAAGATATTCAAACAAGACAATAAAACAATCCAGTGAAAAATTATAATGGAGACGCATCTCGTACTAGTCACTGAACAGTATGTGGATGTTGTCATAGCAACAGTTGGCATATTAAAAACAGTCGGCATATAACATTGGATTCTTTTATGGCATTTAACACTAATCAATAAACATATTATAGTAAGTTGACATATGTACTAAAGCAGCTTATGCCAGTACACTTATCACTAGTCATCACAGTTGTTAAGAATAGTAGGTAGATAATATAGGAAATACCTCAATACATCCATAACCGACTAGTAGAGAATATCATATACAACTGATCGACGGACAGATTCTTTCATTTCTAAACATTAATTGACTGGAAATTATTGTCGTAATCGTGTTTGGACCTCTTTTTAGCGGTCCATACACATATTTGTACCCTGTTATTAATTTGAACAAAGTACTGAATAGCTTTATAAGAAAATGAATTTTGAAACAAACTTGGCTGCTCAAATCAAGACTAGGAGATTGAAATACTCTCAGACATTCAAGACTTAGTTTATCAAACTTGGCTGCCCAAATCAAGACTAGGAGATCGAAATATTCTCAGACATTCAAGACTTAGTTTATAAAACTTGGCTGCCCAAATCAAGATTAGGAGATCGAAATATTCTCAGACATTCAAGACTTAGTTTATAAACTTGGCTGCCCAAATCAAGAATAGGAGATAGAAATATTCTCAGACATTCAAGACATAGTTTATAAAACTTGGCTGCCCAAATCAAGATTAGGAGATCGAAATATTCTGAGACATTCAAGACTTAGTTTATAAAACTTGGCTGCCCAAATCAAGACTAGGAGATCGAAATACTCTCAAACATTCAAGACTTAGTTTACTTCCGGTATCTAAGAAATCTAAGAAATACACACAGTTTTTCTCTTTAAGGTATTTTATTGTCAGGAAATACACGAATCCACCTACCATTACGTTGATTTTCTATCCAGTACAATAAAAATGTTTGTTAGTTCTTTCTGCATTGTACCTAAAGGGAAGGGAAGGGACTGTCTGCGTATTTATGGGCATGTTTTGGGACGACACCCTGATATTGGATGTTTTGTTAGCGTTTACTACTGTTTTGGTATTCAAATTCGAGCCGGGTATCCATAAGCTGTTCTTTTTCTTTTATGATTTTATGTATAATCCTATTTGTTTTAAAGCGTATTTCTTGTATTTCCTTGAAGAGGGGAATAGTACTACCCATTATCATCTTGGTGCTGTACTGAAAGTTATGAAGAAATAAAAAGTTATTTAGAAAGTTGTAATTACTAGAAATCTGTTACCTTTAATATTCAAACTTCTTACGGACAAGCTCAAACTTCTAAATATGTTAATCTTTGTTAAAGTTCTAGCTTCAGCCAGCTGAACAAGTTGTTATAGTTCTAGCTTCAGCCAGCTAAACAAGTTGTTAAATTTCTAGCTTCAGCTAGCTAAACAAGTTGTTATAGTTCTAGCTTCAGCCAGCTAAACAAGTTGTTAAATTTCTAGCTTCATCTAGCTAAACAAGTTGTTATAGTTCTAGCTTCAGCCAGCTAAACAAGTTGTTATAGTTCTAGCTTCAGCCAGCTAAAAAAGTTGTTATAGTTCTAGCTTCAGCCAGCTAAAAAAGTTGTTATAGTTCTAGCTTCAGTTGTTTCTAGCAAGAGCACGTTCTATTTTTATAGATCTCGAAGATTGTTCTTAGAATGTGTGTGGTTGAGGCTAGTATAATAATTTCTAAAGCTGTTTTTATTATTATGCCTATTCTTAGATTATATTAACACGAGTTTAACCTAAAGTTTGCGATTGAAGAAAGTTTTTGTTTGGTTATTATAGAGAAATATTCCACCCTGCACGATGATTTTTTTTCGACAATCTTTAATGAAAATCACAAAATTCAATTTCATACTCTGATTTCGACCTGTACTATAATTAAATTTGAAGTCTGAATTTTCCACCCTGCTATATTCTTAAATTCTTGATATTTTTCCACTCTATATTATTATTAAATTCTTGATATTTTTCCACTCTATACTATTATTAAATTTTTGATATTTTTCCACCCTATTCTATTATTAAATTCTTGATATTTTTCCACTCTACACTATTATTAAATTCTTGATATTTTTCTTTCTCTGAACTATTATTAAATTCTTGATATTTTTCCCTCTACACTATTACTAAATTCTTGATATTTTTCAAGTCTACGCTATTACTAAATTCTTGATATTTTTTCACTCTACACTATTACTAAATTCTTGATAGTTTTCAACTCTACATTATTATTAAATTCTTGATATTTTTCCATTCTACACTATTACTAAATTCTTGATAGTTTTCAACTCTACATTATTATTAAATTCTTGATATTTTTCCATTCTACACTACTACTAAATTCTTGATATTTTTTCATTCTACACTATTACTAAATTCTTGATAGTTTTCAACTCTACATTATTATTAAATTCTTGATATTTTTCCATTCTACACTACTACTAAATTCTTGATATTTTTTCACTCTACACTATTACTAAATTCTTGATATTTTTCCACTATTATTTCGAACACGAGAGTGTGCTGCTGCTGAGGTTATCTTTAGAAGTACGTTTTATGAAACCTTGGGATACAACCTGCAAAATAAACTATATAATTTCTCATAGGAAAAAATTTCCAAAATTATAAGATTATGACTTTAATATTCCCGCCTTGAAAGGATAAAACATATTATTATTATTATTAATTGTAGTGACTGAATGTTGAAATGACACATCTTGGGATTTAACCTATAGCTATCCTCAATGTTGAAAATTCAGGTGTCTTTATTCAGGTGGCGCCAAGCAGTCTGACAGTGTCTGGGTCAGACACACGTGCATATCACAGGCAGCTGTGAGGCCATTTCCTTGTTCTCAAGTAGGTGCAGGTGCCAGAGTAACACCAAAAACAATAGTTTGGAATGTTATACATTAAGGAGAAACTGTTATTATATGTGAGTTATTTTCTATGAAACTTCCCAGAGTCGAAGCAATAATCCACCTGATGAACCACATGAGGCTGTCCAGATGACGTCAGAATACTAGCAGACCAAGATATTAATTGCCCTATTAATAAATTAACATATAATGTTAAATATAACTCCAAAATTAACAATTATGTAAGTAACAAAATAGTTTTGTTTTAATTTTATTTTTGGTATTTAGGTATCTGAATATTCTTGATGTTTGAAAGACCGTAAATTGTATTTAATAACTTTAAAATTTTGGTGACTTACTAAAATATTAACCATGTTTCGTAGTAATTTAATAAAATAAAAGATTAATTGAGTTTCTCATTCACCCATTCACAGAATCTTTCACTACCCAACCAAAACGAAACTAAATCGTTCACTCACCAATTCTAATTTGAAATTGAATCTTTCACTCACCAATTTTAATTTGAAACTGAATCTTTTACTACTCAGTCAAAATGAAATTGAATCATTCACTTACTCATTCAAACTTGAAATTGAACTTCCCAGTCACGTACTCAAACATTAAACTAGAACTCCTAGTCTTCTCTCAAGCACTCACTCAAACATGAAACTGAATCATTCACCTACTCACTCAAACTTGAAACTGAATCATTCACTTACTCACTCAAACTTGAAACTGAATAATTCACTTACTCACTCAAACTTGAAATTGAACTTCCCAGTCACGTACTCAAACATTAAACTAGAACTCCTAGTCTTCTCTCAAGCACTCACTCAAACATGAAACTGAATCATTCACCTACTCACTCAAACTTGAAACTGAATCATTCACTTACTCACTCAAACTTGAAATTGAACTTCGCAGTCACGTACTCAAACATTAAACTAGAACTCCTAGTCTTCTCTCAAGCACTCACTCAAACTTGAAACTGAGACTCTCAGTAATCTATTAAATTTTGATCCGTGTCTCATCTACTGGAATGTTTTTCAGTCACTCAAGAAATTTTTAAACAGTCTTTTTTCATTTATGCATTGAAACTTAA